ATTGTTCCAATTATTTCATATGGAGCTGATGTTTGGGGTACACAGTATTGTAAAACCATTGAAAAGGTACACACTAGCTTCTGCAAGCGAATATTATGGTTACATAAGAACACATGTGATGTTATGGAATTTGGTGAATGTGGTAGAGTACCACTTCAGTATAACTACATGGTAAAACTAAGAAAATATTGGTGTAGAATAATTGAATTAGATTATAATCGTTTACCTTCTCCGTTTTACTTAATGCTCAAAAACCTTGATGATGTGGGTAGAACTAATTGGGCCTCTAATGTGAGAAACATTTTATTTCAATTCGGTTTCGGAATTGAGTGGATAGGTCAAGATATTGGCAATGTGAAAATGTTTATTTCTATATTTAAACAGCGATTATTTGACTCCTTGAGCCAGGAATGGCACTGTATTACTTCACAGTTGAGCAAGTGTCAAACTTATTGTCAATTTAAAACTATGTTACATGTTGAGTCTTATCTTTCAATTGACATTCCACAACATTTAAGAACTGGTATCTGTAAATTCAGGTGTAATAATTTCAGGGTAGCAATGAAACAGGCAGGCATTGCAATTTAACTGCTAGTTAAAGATTTTGCTTATATTGTCATAGTAAAAATGTTTTTCTTGTTGAAGATGAATTTCATGTCTTGATGATCTGTCAGCGTTATGAAGCCGAAAGAAGAGAATGTCTTCATCACAGCATAAGAAATAGCCCTTCTACTGACAGTTTTGTTAGAATTATGTCAAGTACTGGTAAAAATATAATATTTAGTTTGGCAAGGTTTTTATATAAAGTCTTTAGGATGAGAAATACAACAAATTATAATTAGATCTTCAGTGTATATGCTGAAATATTGTTTGATAGTTTAGTGTAGCATCTCTATTGTTATTTTACGAGAGCTTTTTTTGTCTCGTCCGGTGACAAGATACCTGTAACATGGCCAGCATGAATACACTTGTTAAAGCCCTTTTGGAATATGGGCCATGGCCTTGAATACTCGAAATAAATTGTCTGTCTGTAGACACAGTTGAATGCAGCACCATCGAGGTGTCCTTACATTATAACACTCGCACTACATTTGTCTAAACGTGATTACGTAATTATTTTTTTTTAAACTCTAGGCCCAACAGAAAACTGTCTGAAGTCCTCAATCAACGGAGTCGCCTCCCTTTGCCACCACCCTCCTGTTCTGCAGTCGGCCATGATAAATGAGTGCACAATGGGGGATTAACCATAGTCTGTTTTATTTTTTGCCATGAATTGTGGTGGCAATGTCTAATTGAAGTGTCTAGTAGATAAGGTAAGTGTAGATATACAAAGATAACTGTAGGTAACAAAATAAATGTGGTGGCAAAGTGAAATCAAAGGGTATAGATAATTAGGTAACAGTAGACCTTTTTGGCCTGTTTTTTTATTTGTGTTTTTTTAAAGCTTGATTTTAATTTTCACTATGGTTTAAACATAATTTTATTTCGCCAACGCAGAAACATGGATAGGCGAACAATAAATGTATGGCTTATATAAACGCCGCTGTTGTTCCAACAGCTGGATACATACATGAAATAATTTAACAACAAAAGAATAATACTGAGACAAAATGACAGACACATGATTGACTAATGAATATGTTCGTTATGGTCTTGGTTATGTCTAGCAACGAGGCGACAATAGTAGTTTGAGGCGACAATAGATAATTTGGCAAAATCTAGTCTCAAAATTTAAATCAAAGTAATTGTAAGTTTCTGTTGGGTTTATCATGGTTATAAATTGATTCGGGGAAGTGGCGTTAACAGTATCATCGGGCAATAAATTCCACGACATAATCGCGCTCGGCAAAAATGACTGAGAGTGTCTTTGCGTTCTACAGTTGATAGTTTGAATGGAAGTACTGTTTCTAAGATTATAGTTGCTTTGGTCAAATACTCAACCTGGTACAAGATCGTTAAGATAATCAGGAATCAGACGTTGATACATTTTATAGAAAGTTATAAGTTTAGAGCGATACTGTCTTTCTTTCAGTGTGCTATAATTGGTTTCCCTGTATATTTTATCGTGACTGGTGCCACGAGTCGCACCGCATATAGTTGCGTCTAAATGTAAAAATCGCATGTTCAATCGCACAGTTATCCCATATATGGCAGCAGTAATCAAAACGTGGTAAGATAAAGAACTTACATGAAGTATTTAGAATCTGGTAGGTATTTAGGCTTAATAAAAGAACATAGGATATGTAAAATGTGTAATCTGAATGTAATTGAAGACGAGTACCATTTTCTTTGTATATGTCCAGCCTATTATATGTTGAGAAATAAGTATATTAAGAGCTACTGCTATGTACATTCTGATATTTACACATTCATATCCCTTTTAACCAATTCTAGTAAAGAACATTTAGAAAGATTATCTATGTATATCTATTACGCTACCACATACAGAAACAATTACATTCTCCAAACTTCTACTAACTGATCAATTATTCCCTGTTTTTGTACTATAGGCCTGAGGCCTTCTGAGTACGGAAATAAATATTGATTAATAAATTCGGTCTGACATAGATTTGCATTTTTCGAGGGAAGGTTATACTCTCAGTCTTACTAGGATTAAAAATAACTTGCCACTTTCTAGCCCAATCTGAAATCTTTGTTAATGTTAATAAGCTGGTGTTATAAAATATTCGTGTGAAACGTGTACATATGTTTTGTTAATATCCTTGAGTTAATATTGTGCAATAAATGTAACCTCAGATTTATATTGTTCTTTTCCATATTTCTTGTCAGTGGACTTGCAATTTACATATAAACATACATATCTAACCAAAAGACGTCAACCACACTAGATGAAACAGCCTATAACAAGAACTGCACTGAGCTGTAGCCCCTAATCCATTAAAACAACATTCAGGGTGGTGGCAAAGTGAGACTAAACCCAATCAACAGAGAACAAGAATATATCATCCCATCGACCTACAGTGAACTGATAAAACAACAGAACAAAGCACTCAATCATTGCTAATTCATCCGATCAGCTATGTCTGTGTTATTCCGCCTCATGAACAGATGGCTTCCTCCTATTGTTACTGCATTATTACCATTGTTGTTATTCATTGCTGTTAATCCCTTTGATGCATACCGCCATAACTTCTTTGAGTGGCATTGTTTAGATGTTGGAGAGTAATATACAGACAAACTTTATGGATAAACAACTTCTATATTCGGTAGATGCGACGTTTCGATACAGATTCTTGTATCGTTGTCAAGCAAGTATGGTAAGGTAGATAACAGGGGCTATATATTCAGTAAGTAATTAACTAAAACAACAAGGACGTGAATTGGGATGTACAGTAACAATGTGATGACAAGGATTACAAGTAGAAGCCAGTGACTAGAGATACAAGTAGAAGCCAATGACTAGAAATACAAGTAGAAGCCAATGACTAGAGAAACCCTAAGGGTGTGATTTACAAAATAGACTGCAACTGTGGACAATCATATATTGGTGAAACATCAAGACCAATCAACACCAGAGTTAAAGAACACCAGGTGTCTACAAGCAAGTCGGAGAAGAAATCAGCTATCTCTGAACATATACAGAACAACCTCAGTCATCAAATCAACTGGACAGAGTACACACTGGCAGCCAACCAATCTGACTTCACCAAACGAAAATTATCCGAAGCCATCCACATCAAACGACACCGACCCCTGATCAATAGAGACCAAGGTTACTTCATCACCTCTGCGTATGATGAACTCATCAACCAACCTTAACTGGTTGTATTACTTGTACAAACACCCGTAAACCCCATTGGCTTCTACTTGTAATCCCTTGTCATTGGCTTCTACTTGTATCTCTAGTCACTGGCTTCTACTTGTAATCCCTTGTCATCACATTGTTACTGTACATCCCAATTCACGTCCTTGTTGTTTTAGTTAAGTATTTACTGTATATATAGTCCCCTGTTATCTACCCTACTCATACTTGCTTGACAACGATACAAGAATCTGTATCGAAACGTCGCATCTACCGAATAAAGAAGTTGTTTATCCATAAAGTTTGTCTGTATATGCATACCTTCATGTTTTCTTACTTAATCAACCCGTGAAGATCCGGGGTAGAATTGGTCTTCAGCATCCCATGCTTGCCACAAAAGGCGACTATGCTTGTCGTAAGAGGCGACTAACGGGATCGGGTGGTCAGGCTCGCTGACTTGGTTGCCACATGTCATCGGTTCCCAGTTGCGCAAATCGATGCTCATGCTGTTGATCACTGGATTGTCTGGTCCAGACTCGATTATTTACAGCCCGCCGCCATATAGCTGGAATATTGCTGAGTGCGGCGTAAAACTAAACTAACCTCACTCAGTCAAATATTGATACCAGCTGTCGCATCCTGCAACACCGGTGGCACGCGTCATAAGCATAGGCAAAGACGGGTCAGAATATCGCTGAGTGCGGCGTAAAACTAAACTCACTCACTTACTTAATCCCTGTTAGATGTGTATGACTCTGTTCTGTGCTGTAGTACTTCACTCTTGCTTGATAACGGTGTCCGAATCTATACTGAAACGTCGCATCATAATACCATAAAGGAGTTGTCATCCATAAAGCGTCATACCTTTCTTATTATTCATCAAATTCTCAAATGTCAATAAAAAATGGCATCACTATGGGACAAAATGTAAAATATGATGAAAAACCCTGGTGCTATGAGGACACACAAGGATTGTGTGGGAGTGTATATTGCCGTTGTAAAGTGAAAAACAGTGATCAAATCACAATTATTAAAGCGATTTGCTGAATGTTCAATGAATTATCTATATTCGTACTTTTGGGGAGCCTATTTCCTTCCTGGAGAATATGATAGTTAGGGAGAGAATTATAGCTGAACAGGACTTTCTGTGATAGTAGCGACCACTGAACAGTATTGTTCTATGGAGTCCTTATAGGTCTTGAAGTCTATAAAGGTTTAACAGCACGAATACAGGACATGGAACACAACTGTTTTTATTCAGTTGAATGGTTTTGCAGAGCCATGAGATTGTTCAGTGTTGGGCAAATGGCCATCCCATGCTGCCTCCAACAGTGGTAAACTATTATCACAAAAGGGAGCCAGCCTCTGTTCCAAAAATATAACACGCATACACACGCAATTAAAGAATGTATAGTTTAGCACATTGTGGCCTATCCCACCTTGAACAAAAATTGAATAAGATTTCGTTTAGTGACAGTTACTGCGAATGGTGTTTCTGTGTGTCGAGTTTGTATCAGGATTAGATACTTACTCAGCTGCAGCTTTTTCAGTTTCACCAAGTTTAATCTATGTATATTTTATCAATATAATCTCATCCCTAATGGTGTTTGGAAGCATACATAGACTGTCTGCATAGTTTGCATGGCTGCGAATGTTTTGTTAAGTAAACGCCATAAACAGACTCCTGGTAGATACCAGCCTTTGAGAATTCCTTGAACATACGTTGGCTCCATTGACAATTCAAACAGTGCACACATGACAGTGATCTTATTACTACACTTGCATATTGACTTTTTTTGATATTTTGAACAGGAAGGATTTATCCATTTTAGTCAGATCAGATCCTCCTCCTGTAGGTTTTATTGAAGTCCACTGGCAGATGGAAAGGAAAAGGACATGGTTCTTGTCACAGGTATTGGAGGTTAGGACCATGATGAAGATTAAGGACAGAGACGAAGTTCACATTAGTTCCAGTTCTGTCATCATGTTCTGCACCTTCTTTACCTGCCCGGAAGAGTTTGGGGGCGGATTCGTGGAGGACTGAGCGTTATTAGAAGATGCTGGTGTTGGCTTAGCTCTCTCATTATCCATCTGACGTTCCTGGAAGAACTGTTTCATCTGTTCCTGGCGACTGGAATGGGTGTCAAAGCCTGTGGGTACAGAGCTGCTTTTCTTATCTTTACCAGATGGGACGGAGCTATAACTGGAAGCCATCTTTGTCTTTCTTGGCTCTGGAACAAAAGAGCAAAACTGGAAAAATGCTTTCTAAAACACTTGTCTTAGTCCGGTGTAGATGTTCAGTCAAATAGAAATACCCTTTTCTCTCATGGTCCCAAAACATTCAAAGTCTATTTAAATCTATCCACTCTTTTTAATCGAAGAATATGTGCTTTTTAATGCATGGCTAGATGTGTCTGAATTGCTAACAGCTGAAGGGATGGTGTAAATCCAGCTAGGGTCCATGCAGGAAGCAAAAGTACTGTAAGTTCCCATGGTCCCTAGTATGGTGATCTACCTTCAGTTGTTGGCAATATATAGCCTGTTTTACATTGTCTTGTCATTTCTAGTTAAAATGTTTTAGATTTAATTACTAGTTTTAAATGGATATCTGTGATATACTAGTAGTTTTACTGTTCTTCGTCAACAGGCTTTTAATTTCTAATTTTATTGATCTATAATATAATTATTAATTGTCTTCGTCACGATATGGATGAAATATTGCCGATGTGACGATAAATATTAACTCACTCACTCACTTTTCTCTCATGATATGCCTTATGTACAGTTTTCCCGGAAATTATTGATAAAATCTTTGTTTCGTAATACTGATAATAGAATTTTAAAATAGGTGTTACATTATGTATTAAGATACTCAACGTGGGAGGTAACTCTTGTGGGCTTAAGAATGAACCTTACCACAAGAATATTCAGTCAGGAGTTGGGATTGAGCACAAGTCAGGGGCAGGGAGGCCAAGGAAGTTCATTACTACGGATCAACGGCGACTTGGTCAGATTGTAAGTAGGGGAAAATTGAAAAGCGTTGAGAATATCAGAAATGATATGATTAATAGAGGAAGTCCTCAGGTATGTAATGAAACCCTTAGACAAGAATTACAAATACTTAACTGGGTGAAAAAGCGCGGAATTCCCTCACCAGTGATGAAAGACTGGGATAATGTTTTCTTTTCTGATGAAAGTTCTCTCTGGCTTTTTCCGAACTGTGTGAATATTTGGACAAAACATACCGTGAAACCCATCTACCATAGCCCCAAACAATTTCACATGTGGGGTGGGATATCCTCACGTGGAGTGACGCCGTTGTGTATTTTCACTGGACATTTGACGAAGGAACGATATGTTGACATCTTAAATGATCACCTCCTTCCAACGGCCCGAACACCATATGAAGATAATTGGATTTTCCAGCACGATAACGACCCTCAACACACTGCGGGCTACACAAAACAGTGGCTGTCGGACGAAAATGTTCAAGTTTTAGACTGACCCAGCAACAGCCCAGATCTTAACCCTATTGAGAATGTGTGGGGACTAATGAAGGACAGAATAAACCTAAAAGGACTTAGAAATGTTGAGGGTATGAAGAAAGAAGTTGTCGAATATTGGGATACGCTGTCACACGATTTCCTACAAACTTTGATCGGTATTGTACCAAGGCGCATTCAGTCGTGTATTGCAGGACAAGGAGGTCTCACAATGTACTGAGAAGACACTTAGACTGCAAGAGAATCATATCTCAACATATTCATTTAAGTAAAACTTCTATGGTTTATATATATGGCTGAAATATTGCTAATGTGACTCTAAATTTTAACTCACTCACTCACTCACTCTATGGTTTATAAACATGAATTAGATATTTGCCGCAACAACTTTCTCACTAATTTCCGGGAATATGATAACATAAGATATATACCTTTAAAATCATCATAAATTCATGAAATGTGATAACACTGCTGATATATAGACTGTGTTCACTTAAAACCCAACCAGACATCAGGGCCTAGATTTTCGAAGCTCTCTTAGCGCTAAGAGAGTCGTAAGTGCCATACATTAGCATTAACTTACGACTATCTTAGCGCTAAGAGAGCTTCGAAAATCTAGGCCCTGGACTGGTAATATTGCTGAGTGCGGCGTAAACTAAACTCACTCACTCACTTAATTCCTGTCGTAAATGGTTGGAGGCGCTTAGTTCACATGTAACGAGGAGACATTATGGACTTGTTGACCAGACACGTGTTGGTTTCCAGACTGTTAATCCGAAACCTCACATCCAGATACAAACTATACACAAAGAACAGTTAACACACACCCCACCCCCACATATCTCACGATTGAATGAGCCCCGATCTTTACCCTATGGGGCATATGTGGTACATGGTTGGTCGTCGTGTGCAACACAGGGATCCTCTTGTACAGAACCTGACCCAACTGGAAGCTGCTTTACACTAGGAATGGCGTAGACTGGCCTTTCAGAGGAACAGGAGACTGACAGGGGGTACTAGGAGGAGAGTATTGGCTGCCATACAGTCACATAGAGGTTACACTCGGTATTGACCTTGAATCGTGTAAGACACGCAAAATGACATTTTGAATATTCACATTCACCAATACATTCAACACTAAACATTCTAGGGCCATACTTGTACAGACATGGTTTTTGTATGAAAATCAGTATGTGTTTTTTAAAATGAGCAATAATCATAATAAAATCACATGGATTCCAATCATTTTGTCGTTTTTAAGAGTCAAAGGATCATACGGGTCAGATGTTTTTCCATCGTAGTCACCACAAGAAGTTTTATGTACGTGTTGAAAACCTATCATTGCTAAAATGCAGGGTGTGCTTAATTAAGTTCTTTGTGTATATCAATAGTGGAAATACGTACTTCAAACCAGTCACAACATCAGTACAAAATGCACACACGTTCCTCCTGATATGTAATATCAGTACACATGGTGAGGTGAGGTGAGGTGAGGTGAGGTGAGGTGAGGTGAAATTGGGTTTAACGTCGTGTTTGAGAATATTTCGCTCATATGACGACGTGCATGCGTGTGTATGTGTATGTGCGGCTGCTTGTACTAGCCCAGACTTAAGCTGGTTTTATAGTGCTAGCCCACGCAGTGAAGCATGAATACCCCACTCAGACACATAATACTGACTCCGAGCCGGACCAGTCCTTGTTGTACCCATTAATGCCGAACGCCAGGCAGGGACCAACAAGTACCATATTTTAACGTCCTTTGGTATCAGAACACATGGACCACTCATGGACCCCTTTATACAACGTATGCGTGAACAAAAACTACTTGTTTAATGACAATATAATCATTTATTGTGGGACGAAATGAGGCAGATTATTAGTCTTGTTATCTCGAATCCCGTAGGAACCCAAGCCTGTATTTCTATTGCTTCGTCTAAATATAAACGTCAAACAAAGAGACTACCCTGAGTCTGCTCTCCGACGGAAGGTCAAACAATATTAAAATGTTTATTAATGGATCACTGTAAATCAGCAGTGAAACCAAGTGTTGGCGAATTGGGCGATTGAATTGGACTAGGTGTCAGCGACTGATGTTATGGGTTACACTGATCGTAAGAGAGAGCTAAATGGGTCTGGTGGCCAGACTCACGGTATGATTCTTTGGTCATAATTTCCACCATTGGTCAACCTGGTGCAGATTCGCAGGCCGTCGTGATGTCATTTGACATTTGAGTTATGCATGTCATGTAAAACAACAAGCTCGGGACCTGTAACCATTCGAAATGTTCGTGACCCGTGAAGATCCGGGGTAGAATAGGTCTTCAGCAACCTATGTGCTTGCCATTAAAGGTGACTATGCTAGTCGTAAGAGGCGACTAACGGGATCGGGTGGTCAGTTTCGCTGACTTGGTTGATACATGTCATCGGTTCCCAATTGCGCAGATCGATGCTCATGCTGTTGATCACTGTATTGTCTGGTCCAGACTCGATTATTTACAGACCACCGCCATATAGCTGGGATATCGATGAGTGCGGCGTAAAACTAAACTCACTCACTCACTCACTCACTCGAAATGTCCGTAGAGAAAAGCGAGGTATCATCATTAGTCTAGAACGCACATGGGTATCATACCTATATCGTCACATTGTGTCATCACAGAAGATATCGAGATAAAATGGCTTCACCGAATATGTTTAAACATAGACCTTTCATTCAAGCATAAAATATTCTGTTTGAATGTGCTTATTAATTGAACGTATGTTTCTATATATTTGCAAAGACATCTGAACCGTTCAGGGTGCAAATAATGGATCCTTAACAATAGGATTTATTTCAACAAATAATTTCTGTTCCATTCTTCATCCACTGGCGCATACTTCGATAGACGTCGTATCATACAATACTCTGGTACAGGAAAAATATTTGTTATACCTTAAATAACATCAGCATTTATTTATCTTGAACTAGGAAACACACATCGTTTCTATAATTCATTTCTTATGTCAAGACAAGACATTGGTATCCAATTTAACGAAAACATGAACAAATGGCATCGCACTTGTTTGGCGATTTGCAAATTAGTATTTGGCTAAAGTACACATAGAAAACAAATTGAATATTTTTTCGATTATTTGTGTGTTGGAAAAGTTGTAAATAGAAATGAAAACAAACCATTATTGATTGACAGCAGCAAATATTAGAATTGCACTACTTTTGTACATAGCACGGAATTGATATCTGCAGATTTTATTTGCCCGTTGTAATACATTCACCATCGGCCTGTCCTTCTGTACACACTCCCGTACCCACAAGCTATTGGGATGAGATTAGAAAGAACATAATCGATGGCAACATAATAGAAGGTACAGAATGATGCCAATGTGATTACATATTGGAATAAAACAGTCAACACTCACCAATTGGATGTATATGCCTGGTTGGATAGGTAATTTTATGTTATGTTACAAACGTGGGAGAATGGAAAGGATTAATTGTAGAAAGTATAACAGAATGAAGGAGATGATAACATTAAAATCCGAAATATACATGACCTCCATTCGTTGGATTCCATTGATGTTAAATGTCCCACATTTGATTGCTACCTGCCTATATTGGAACCTGGAGAAACCAATGTGTGATACTATGAGCAATGGTCTACCTCAGTACTGTCCGAACCCGTGTAGTACTGCTGTCCAGGCAGTCGGTGTTCTCAGTGCAGTGTGGTAGTGCAGGAGTGAGTGAGTTTAGTTTTACGCCGCACTCAGCAATATTCCAGCTATATGGCGGGGTAGAGCAGGACATGTTTGCATCTGGCCCAGGATTATGAAATGTTGTCTTAAGCCAGGTTTCAATGTGTAAGCATTGTCTGGTTAGTGCGTATTACGTGTGCGCATTGACCAATTCCTTGTGTACATGTATAAAGGCTACGTGATGCATTAAATCAAGTCACAATTGCTGTCTAAAATGCCACCTTGTTTCTCAAAGAACGAACGTGTGTAGTCCGTTTTCGGTGTCCCCCGCCGTGATATTGCTGGAACAATGCTAAAAGCGGCGTAAACCATACTCACTCACCCTTCTTGCGAACACACAACATTCTCATGATTGGTGGATACATAAGCCCCAGCAACCTATGTCTGCACTAGATGACCTCATGGACCTAGTGGTCAGGCACGGGGAATGGTGTGCTGTGTACTGATGGCGTGAGATGGTCCTCATAATGTCAATTACTGGATGCTTGGTCCAGAACATATAAAGAGGCTGCTGTGACACAGCAGAATGTTTCTGAGCGTGACGGACACCAAGCTTTATTAAGTCGCAGATACAAGGTATTATGAAAGAATAAGTAGTACATATCCGACCAACATATGTGGTGGGCGTTCGTTATGCACGTTTCGAGGTTGTTGTTACATTAACGAATAGGATGTATTCTGTGAATTAGATATGTAAACAAAAGTCGAAGCTTTACCATTCACATGCATCTCCCTTGAGATTATCTCGGTATGTAGTGCTTAATTACCTCTGCATCAATATTTCATGGTGGATACAGATCTCATTTCGCCTGTCAACACAGTATACATTTAACAGACAATAAGGCAATGGTAAAGGAACACCGGCTTCCGCACAACTGGCAGTCAAAGCATACTTGAATTTGAATCATATAGCAACGTCATTAAACTTGCATTCTTCATCTCTGATTCAATACGTCCCTGTTTGAATATCGGATACATCAGTCGTGTAAGGTGAACATTATATATTTAAGCCAGTCGAAGCAGTGAAGAGTTTTTGTACGAGTGGGCGAAACATTCATACAGACAGGGTTATCGTGTATTGCATGTCAGAGTGAGTGAGTTTAGGCTTACGCCGCTTTCAGCAATAATCCAGCAATATCAACAGAAATGGGCATCACACATTGTATCCATGTTGGGACTCGAACCTGTGTCTTCAATATGACGAGCGAACACTTTAACCACAAGGCTACCCCACCGACCCGTATTGCATGGCCGAAATGCTATTATATTTACTGAATTGTGTGTGTGCTCAAGGACGAAACAAGGGTATAAAATCTAGATATTTTCAAAGTATATAAAAAAGCTCAACTATAAAACTATAACGCTGCAATCGTCAGTGTTATGACCACTACCTTCCCATCGAAACAAGGACCTGGTATCACTGATTAAAAAACCGACACAGGGAATGAATTCCACTATCTTTTCATGTATCCAGTATTTGAATCCAAAAGACTTAGCCATCTACGTATCTCACGTAACGTACTCGTGATGCAGCTCAAGCACATATAACCCATTCAGTCGAAATATTTAGAAAGATTTAGAAAATGTACGCTTCCAAACTGTGTAAATTTAAGTCTTAACCGACCTTTTACAGCCAGACTGCAACTTAATGTTTCTTCCATAAACCCATATCTATAAATCGGCGTACGTATTGTACATGGGTACTGAGTGTTTTGTTTTGTGGAAATGAGCATTATAAACTAAGCCCTCGAAAATACCAAAAATGTGTAAACTGAAGGCCTCACCGACCCATTACCACCAGTCTGCAACTTGCTTACAATCCCATATATATAATATACAGTATATATCGGCGTACGTATTGTCTATTGGTCCATCGTTTTGTTGAAACGAGGATTGTAACATAAGCTACGGCTATAAAGGATCATACACCTACTTTGCGAACACCTGGTGTCTTCAGTGATTCATGAATTGAATTTCGTAAAAAAGAGAAACAGAGATGCCTTAGAACTCCAGAAAACGTTTACTTTCATTTGCAAACTGACAGTGTTAGATATAAACAGAGATCCCATAACTAGTGTAGTTCCAACAATGCAGATGGAATCCTGGTTCTAATCTGTCGCCAACATCCTTAAGGTGTCAGTAAGAAACAATTAGATGAATCGGATGGTTTGGGTAGGCGACATGGTTGATGACATCGTCATAACGTGTCTTGATAATATATGACTTATCTGAATCCTTTGGGGGGATCGGTTAAGATGGTTGGCAGTTTGCCAATCCCCTCAGTAATAAATTGTTGAGCTATATCACGTCGGTCAGTAAATAATAGGGCAGATAATCCAGTGGTTTATCAGGAACGTCCCTTGTCGTGGACGACCAGTAATGAGTCCCGAACTTGACCCCGTCGAATCAGTTTTGTTGCCTCTTACCAATACCACTGACTTCTTACAGTTAATTAAACAATCATAAAACTGAAATTCAAAAAGAAAATCTTTATCTTACCATGTAAGTTGTTTGTTGCCAATATCTGAGTGAGTGAGTGAGTGAGTGAGTTAAGTGTTACGCCGCACTTAGAGATATTAGAGCTATATGGCGGTGGTCTGTAAATAATCGAGTCTGGACCAGACAATCCAGTGATCAACAAGGTGAGCATTGATCTGCGCAATTGGGAACCGATGACATGTGTCAACCAAGTCAGCAAGCCTGACCACCCGATCCCGTTAGTCGCCTCTTACGACAAGCATGGGTTACTGAAGATCAGTATTCTAACCCGGACCTTCATGGGTATGTTGCCAATATCTAGTTTATAGGTAACCAATGTTGTCTGTACCAGACACTCAAGAAGTTGACATTGTAAGCACCAGTCTACACGATTGGGAAACGGTGACAAGCACAAGTATAAGTTGACATCCACTGAAATAAGAAATAGTACTGAAAAAGTGTGAAAATATTTTGACAACGTTAACGAATTAATGACCAGTCCACATATTCAAGACATATGTGTCAACGTTAGTGGACTACTGCCAGTCTCCCTCCAATACAAATTAATGTACAAATTGCCTAATTGACAGATGGTAAAGCCATGAAAATATCATTATGTTATTTTCTGCAAGTAACATATATTATATTTTTGAAGGGCATTCACAGCAAAAATAACTTGGTGACCTGATAGAAAGTGGACTGAAACTTAAGTTTCCACCTCGAATCCAGTGAGTTCCCGTTATTTCACATTGAGTTTCCGCAGTAACGGAAACTTACAATTACCCACTTTCTAAGGGTTTCTGCAGGGTATCCGTTACCCACACTCCAACAAGTTTCCGTTGAGTTTCAGTTAATTTAGAATCCATCAGGTTTCCGCAGAGTTTCAGTTACCAACAATCCGACATAGTTTCCGCAGAATTTCATTTACCCAAAAAATATTTAGAAGTGGAATACATTAAGAAAAGCAAGATTTATGGATGTCAACTTCTTTTTTTGCGAATAACATGACGTTTCGGAGTGTATCGCTAATGAAGGAGCAAGCATACGCTCCGAAACGTCGTGTTATTCACAAGAAGTTGACATCCATAAATCTTGCTTTTCTTAACATATATAATGTCGTTATTTTCTGCCAGTACATATGTCATAACAATAAGCTTATTGTACATAATTGAACCAAGAAAGTGTACTAGTGATGCGTAATGAATATAAAATACTAAGTGATCGATTTTACTGTATAACTTCAACGCCAGAGAGTAACCAGTCTCCATCATAACGTCAACGTCACCTCGTTGTAAACAAAACTGCTTGAATCGTTTATACCATTGAACCGTTTCACACTGTGAAGATGATGCCATAATAATTGGTTTTGGAGGGTTTACTGAGATCTCCCATCCAGAGTATCAGACTCATCTGCAACAGAGAGGCTGTAGAACCATCCAGTAAACAGCAGCAATGCCATGAAGCATCCTCGTGGCATTGGCTTTCTCACAAACAAGACATGAGCAGTTTGGACAACAAAGGATAATGGAAATATCAAGAGCTTTGTAGCTAGAACACGGTCGTACTTCCAAAAGCACTTGAGACACAGCAAGGCTTTTATCAATAGATTGATCTCAAGAGCTCTGTTTTGTCATCTTTGATATCAACACGACCGCGTGTCTTTGTAGTATGTGTACTAACATATGTGTACTCTGTGTGCTCGTTCATTGATCTCGTCCCATTACATAGAACAAATACAAGTCTTCCAGCTCTGTCCTCTAACACATACTTTGATAACTGTCTGATAATGAGTTGAAAGGAATAAACTATATATTTCAACGTGCTACGTGCGTATGAAGGTTTGCAAAGCCATGACGCGTGTGATATTGTCATGAACGTGTCATGTGTTTTGTATTTGATAGATTTGGAATTCTTTACGTCTTCAGATTGCATTACTCAGATCGCAAGACATCCTTGCAACTACCCTCTGGAGAATCCGAGTTAGAACCTAGGTTTGATGTGATAGTCGACTAAGTGTTGCGGATAGTCAACTCTGTAGCTAGTACTAAGCTGACGAAGATCGATGCTCATGATATCAATCACTAGGTCTCCTTGTGTTCCAGATCGCAAGACATCCTTGCATGCACTCTGTGGAGAGTCCGGGTTAGAACCTAAGTGATAGTTGACTAAGTTGGACGGGTAGTCAAATCTGTGACTTGATGACGAGTCCTTGTACCAAAATGACGTAGATCGATGCTCATGATATCAAGCACTAGGTCTCCTTGTGTTCCAGACTCCATTCTTTAAAGCCATGTGGCTGGCATATGGCGGCGTTAGCCATTACATTTGTAGTGTGATTTCTACACAACATCGAGTTACAACATTTTTCTTGATAAATATGTTTATATAAGCTTTCCATATATATGCGCAATCCCTAGAAAACAATTATTTTCAAAGGGCGAAAACCAGAGCATTTCTTTAGCATTTCCTGGTACCAGTTATTTTTTCAATACAAATTCCCACCCACATACCGAATATCAGTCGGACCCTAAGAAAAATGCAACAAAGTGAAATGACATTTCGTTGCAGGACACCAGGAAGCTTCTTGATATTTGAACTGTTGACGCGGAAGCACAGCTGATTCTTAAATGGTTTGAACATAGACTAAAGCAAGAACATCTCCTTCAAGTCACGACAGTTTCCTGTTCACTGTCACAAACAGGAAATTAAAAATGCTGTCAGTATTCTTTATGAGGGAAAACGTCAAACCAACTGAGCATGGACATATTCCTTCTTTCCTTTTCTCGTTTACGCAAACGTTTCCAGAAAAAGATGATCCGACAAAGCCAGCGTGGCTTGTGTACTACCATAACAATATTACGGCGAGGGGTTTTATCATTTACATTCGGAACGGGCTGTTTCACTCCTTTTTCGAAAAACATATTAAGATAAACTGGATTCCTAGCGAGAACCTAAGAGCTTGGATAATTTGAATTGTCAGGTTTAGAGTCCAACCTAAAGATTCCTTGTTTACCTTAATATTTCCATGCAAATAAAGTAGTTTTAATCCACTGATCTTTTCCCCACAAACTGTTAATGATACACGACTGGTGATACAGAGTGACTTATGGAAATGGTCTTCTTATGATGATGTCAAAGAAAGCACAGACGTGGTATAAGTGACACAATGGTTTCAGGAAGTCATTCATCAGAGTAGGAGCGGGAACATGAACAAGTCGGCTTAAACACGCTATTACCATTTTACGAAACCAGGCCTTCTGTTTCACGGGCTAACGCGTCATCCATTAGACTAACCCACTATGACATTAAACAGCAAACAAGTGAAACGCCAGTGTGATTCCTACAATACACAGCCGATACGTTAACATCTGCTGTGATGTTTTTCACAAATAAATCTCTGTTTTGTTGTTGACATTCCAGCATTATTACGGCGACCTTTCTATAATTACCAGAAGGTTTCAGGCAACATCTGACCCGTGAAGATCCGGGGTAGAATAGGTCTTCAGCAACCCATGCTTGACGTAAGAGGCGACTAACGGGATCGGGTGGTCAGGCTTGCTGACTTGGTTGACACATGTCATCGGTTCCCAAGTGCGCAGACCGATGCTCATGCTGTTGATCACTGGATTGTCTGGTCCAGACTCGATTATTTACAGACCGCCGCCATATAGCTGAAATATCGATGAGGGCGGTGTAAAATTAAAGTCACTCACTCACTCACTCAGTCAACGTCTACTTTAAGTGTTGTGCCTTGGAATCGAACTCAAAGATGTTTTATCATGATAGTACTGTCCATTGACCCATCCGCGCATGATATGGAATGGTTCGTTCAGTCATAGAGAAAACATCTCTCACCATTGCCGACCCACTGCCAAATCTGTCATGAGTTTAACACTGACTTGTCGTATCATTCGACGGCAGCAATTTGATTAGCCGTTTGAGCCAGATTCGTCATCTTTCGCTGTGAATCCTAAATTAAGCGTTCCTGTAACCAAATGCCAACTGAAGGTATTTTTGCATAGAAGCTAATCATTATCACCACA